AAAGATTACCATACTTCAGCTGTCGGCATTATTGAAACAAGCCGATTCTAGTAAAAGAAAACTGACTTTGACTGTGAGTAAAACTCTAAATTTTGGTTTTTACATGTGACAGACTAAACCAATGTTCAGAATTCAACTGACAAGCTGAGATATCAGTGTTTCTTCCTAGGTTTATGATCAAAGCATGGTGGCTTAATTGAATATGTCTTAATTTTAGTACAATACAAATATTTAGCATATCAATGACTTTTCGTTTTCTTTTTGAAAATTCAAGCATGATGGACAAATACAGAATATATACTGTACTTTTTAACTTGTCTGCGATATGGTTTTTACTTGTGTCCTTTTTTGCTCTATTAGTAGTACATGCAGAGTGTTCATGTTCACATTAAGTAATATTTCAATAATCCAGTATACACAAATCACTTTGAGATGCTATAACAAATCCACTTCTATCAGAGATGCGCTTTTGAAAAAGCAAATACTTTTGTGCAATTGAGTCTTCTTCATATGATATTTCACTAAAATTGTTTTATTCTTATTTACAGCGACTGTCATCAGCCCCTGTACCATTCACTGTATTGAATATTTGTGGCAACCCATGCAATGAAGATTTACTTGCCGTGTGTGGACTCAAGGTAAAACATTGCTGCCACCTTCTCTGTCTTGCATTGCGTTTTGTATATAGTAGTTATTGTCTTATAGTCATCCATTTAATAAATTTTGGGACCTGTCGATTTTTGAGGATTTTTGATTGCCATGACATTGACTTTATGTTTTGTGTTACAGGATTGTCATGTGTTGACTTTTACAAGTTCAGGTTCAGTGTCTGATCACCTGGTATTGCATCCACAACTAGAAGCTGGTAATTTCATCATCAAAGCTATCTGGTTACCTGGATCTCAGTGTGAACTTGCTATAGTAACGGCTGATTTTGTCAAGGTATATTTCCTTGTCTTAAAGTTTTCTGCTGATTGAATGCTCAATTCATTTCTTAATTAACATAGCAAATACTAGTAATCTTTTGTTTTGTCTGTCTGTGGCACCCACCTTGAATTCCAATACCCTATACCAGCAATGTGTAGATAATAAAGTGGCTTTGTAATTGTAATCCCAGCCACTTGTATTCAGAATCATGTATACTGGTACTTGTAGTATTCAAAGTCTCCATGTGAAATGAAGTGTGTAGTACATAGCCAACATGTGATTAACCCATTGTATGCCATTGTCAACTTGTATTCAGAATCATGTATATTGGTACTTGTAGTCTCCAAAGTCTCCATGTGAAATGAAGTGTGTAATACATAGCCAACATATGATTAACCCATTGTATGCCATTGTCAACTTGTATTCAGAATCATGTATATTGGTACTTGTAGTCTCCAAAGTCTCCATGTGAAATGAAGTGTGTAGTACATAGCCAACATATGATTAACCCATTGTATGCCATTGTCAACTTTTGACACTGAAATTTTGATAAAAACCGACAAACCTATTGGTCAAATTTAAAAGCAATATCTGAAAGTCTATTTTGCCCAAAATTGTGATGAAATTTATTTTACAAAAACATGTAAATATATGCACTAAATTTTGGGCGTGTAAAATATCTGGGACTCGAAGGGTTAAAGCTGTTTTTTTTCTCGTAAACTCGTAAAACCATGAACATAAATTTACACAACTTTTGTTTGGTTGTTTGTGTGCACAATTCAGAATGAAATTATTCCAAAATTGAACCCAAGATTCTGAGACTCATCATTCTATCACAGTGTAAAAACAACATGTTCTCATCATTCTCTGTCCTATCCTAGATCTATGACCTATCCCAGGATGCATTGAGCCCTGTTTACTACTTCCTGTTACCCAGTGGTAAGATTCGTGATGCATCGTTCATATTTACCGAAGACTCTCGCACTATGGTGTTGATGTCATCAGCTGGCTATATTTACACCCAGCCAATGGAAGAACTGAGTAGTGCAAAGCATGGACCATTCTACGTGACCAACGTATTGGATGTCACTCACGATGACTTAAAGGTGATTATAGACCAGATCATTTTCAGTATTCAATCACTCGGTGTATGAACCCCTAAACTGTGTTATTAGTAGTATCTTCTTACTGTGACCTTTGTTTTTAAAAACGTCTGCGATCTTGGAATTTAATCAGTAAACTTGTAGATATTTGTGAAATAAACACTAATCAAAATGTAATTTACAAATAACACGACAAGTTTTAATAATTTGTACATTAAATTGATTTGTTATTGTATTTAGGACACTAATGGACAGGTTGCTGGTGGTGGAGTGTCTGTATATTATTCACATACATTGCAGTTACTCTTCTTTAGTTACTCACAAGGTAAGCGCTAACATGCAGGTTTACCACTTTTATATCTATGTATGGTGATATCCGAAGAAGATCTTATTCCATGCAGGTCCCACATGTTTTGATAAAATTTGTCCTGAAATAACATACCCAAACGAAAATCATATAGGAAAGTTTGCAAGTCTAGATAACAAAACAAATGACTGAACAAAACAATCCACAAGAACAACTAACATACTCAAATCATTAAGTGAAAAATGCCACGGTGTGTACATTAAGTGATTTTGGGTGTTTCAAAGAGGGCGAGTACAATCTGCTCCACATGTGTCGACCACCATAACATCACAACAAGTGTTTGAAAAGATTTGATTTTGTGAATAGAAATGATTGATGTGATCATACTCAAGTTTAATACATACTCTACAATATGTGTATGTGAAAAATTTGAAAAACAAGGCGTTTTTTTACATTAAAAGATGATTGCAAACTAACAACTCAAATGTTTTTTTTGTCCGTATTATCCATGATAATATTGGTACTGAAAATCACAAATATAATATAAAACAGTAATTATTTTGTTCAATCCACCATTGCAAGCTTATTCACTAAATAAATTTGTGTATTGAAAAATTTATAAATGTTCTTTATTTGCAGGTAAAACTTTCTGTGCATCATTGAACAAACAAAACAATCAACTACCGTCACTGTTCCCGATCAATTTTAAAAGGTAACTTTTTTTAAGTTTTATCTCCATGTTCACTCTGTTAACACAACACTTGCAGCCCAAGACTTCTGAGACTTGCTGTAAGGCCAAATAAAAATTGAAAATTTAACAAAATGCATACAATGTAAGGTTCATAATTCAAAAAATAGTTGGGTACCCAAACTTTTTTCTTAGACTTTCAAAAAACATTTGTCATGAGGAGTAATTTAGCAAAATGTCAAAAGTGTCCGCATCCACTCCAGTCACTTTATTCATTGCTCACTCACTCAGTAACAATGGATCCAGCAAGTCTAACAGCCCAGCACTGTGTCAATGGAATGAAGTACCAAACCATCCAGGACTCATCTACTGTATAACTCAAACCAGTGGTGTACCAGTCATTATGATGGTTAAACCAGACTCTATTATGGTACAGGAAATTAAGACACTACCAGCTAAAGCCAAGGTGTGTACAAATATGAGCTTTTTCAATGAGTTGCACACTTGTGATAAAGTGATGCTGTTATATGAAAATACGAGTTACAATTCAGACGAATGATAATGTCCAATATTTAGGAAGCTTGCTGTATTGTAAATGGTGAACACAGCCACAGCATAGTCATATTTATGTCACTGTGAATGACCTTGCTTTCACCTGTATCATATCTGTCATATTTATGGAACTTTTTTATGTATTTTTTTTTTTTTGATTTTAGACCAAATTTGCATAATTTTTTATTTGACTATTTATGAGGATTTATTTTGGGATTGATAACAAAAGTTGAATTTGTTTCACATTTTGGGGTGAAAATAAGTCTCATTTATAAAGAATCTATTTTCTTTGTAGATCCAAGACATGGTTGCTATCCGGCACCCATCAGCCACATCTGAACAACATCGTACAACATTAATATTGCTTTGTGAGGATGGTAGTCTACGCATCTACATGGCAAGTGTGGAGAACACTAGTTACTGGATGTCCAGTCAATTCCAACCAGCCAGTGTTATCAGTGTGCTTAGACCACCTAAAAAAAAAAAGACTGCAAAATCGGGTTAGTATTGATATTTGTTTGCACCGGATAACTGTGATGTGTTCATTATATGTCAGTGTTGTTTCTTCTGACTTGTGTATTAATTGCTTAATGCAAACCAGGCATACAGTATATTTTGCCACTTTTTAGTCCCCGTTTGGACGCAGTCCGAAAACGGGAACTTATGTATTGACCTCTGTGCGTCCGTGCTTCCGTCCGGACATGTACCTTAGAAATGCCTGGACCAATCACAATCAAACTTCACACATACATCATACATGATATTATACATATGCACATCAATTTGTTTCAGGATCTGATTCAAGATGGCCGAATGGCGGCCATTTTTGTTCTAAAAATCATCAAAATCAAGCATTTCTCAGCTGTTTACAGATAGACTTTGTTCAAACTTGGTATATACGTTGGACATTATAGGAACTTGATGCACATCATTTTGTTTTCAGATAAGATGAAAAATGGCCGACTGGCAGCCATTTGGTTTAATAAATGTGGTTCTAGTGCCATATCTCTGACTTGCTGTGACTGATTATGTTCAAATTTTAAATATTCATTATACATGTATTCAAAATGGCTTATTTTGTTTTAATTTATGCTGTTTCAGAGCAATATCTCTCAATACTTGTTTGATGATCAGATACAAATGTCAATCATTTAAATGTTCAACAATCATCATAATCATATTCCTGACATGTTTATATTCTAGCTATATTACTATAAACAAAACTATATATCTTAAATTCGATAACTAACTGGGACTGTGCCATGCATGGCTTGTTGGTTACTGTTTCTGTCAGAAAATGATTTCCATTGGTTATCAGGCAGATGTAATTTCATTCAATCTGCATCAATGGGTGAAATCATAAATTAACACCTAACTGTAACGAATTTAATCAAATTCACTTCAATGCTTACTTACTTAGAACACTTAAACTCTGCCACATGTTTTTATATTTACACATTATATTTTTGTGTTATTTTCAGGTCGCCCCGTTGGTCAAGTGTCATTTCCAATTGATTTCTTTGAGCACTCCCAAGTACTGAATGATGTGGAGTATGGTGGTAATGATCTATTACAGCTGTATAATGTACAACAAATCAAACACAGAATGAACACTACTGGCATGTATGTGGCCAGTACAAAGGTATGTATAAAGTCTACAGTATTACCATATAAGGAGTACAGTGCTAATGATTTACTTATTATATAATGTACAACTTAAAACAAATATTACATTTCACTTTTATTAGCCGACTGGTTTTAGCATTGATGTCACTAATAATAACAGCAATATGGTTATGGTTGGAGTACGATTTCACATTGGAACACAATCTGTGGAGAGAGTACCATCATTCTTAGAAATGTTTGGCCGAAGTGTACAGGTAATGTTTACTTCATATACTGTAAACTATGTCCACGTTGCTCGAGATGCGTTTTCATGAATCAAGTTTTGTAGCAGTGAAAAAGTCACTTGGGTTTAGTGAATGTTACATTTCCAGCGACAAAAATTATTTCATACTGCATATAGAAAGCTTCCCAGTATACTAGAATTAATGTTTAAGTCATCAAGTCATCCCTGGGATATTTTAGACAAAGATTAAAATTATCTAATGGTGAAATTTCAATTGTTTTGTTGGTATGGCTTGATTGACAGACTTAGTAATAAAGTGACCTCTTACCTTTTATGGCCAGTTAATCTGAATACCTGCACCCCTATGCCAGTTAATCTGAATAGCTGCACCCCTATGCCAGTTAATTTGAATACCTGCACCCCTATGCCAGTTAATCTGAATAGCTACATCCCTTTGCCAGTTAATTTGAATACCTGCACCCCTATGCCAGTTAATTTGAATAGCTGCACCCCTATGCCAGTTAATCTGAATAGCTGCACCCCTATGCCAGTTAATTTGAATACCTGCACCCCTATGCCAGTTAATTTGAATAGCTGCACCCCTATGCCAGTTAATCTGAATAGCTGCACCCCTATGCCAGTTAATCTGAATAGCTGCACCCCTATGCCAGTTAATTTGAATACCTGCACCCCTTATGCCAGCTAATTTGAATACCTGCACCCCTATGCCAGTTAATCTGAATAACTGCACCCCTATGCCAGTTAATCTGAATAGCTGCACCCCTATGCCAGTTAATCTGAATAGCTGCACCCCTATGCCAGTTAATTTGAATACCTGCACCCCTTATGCCAGTTAATCTGAATAGCTGCACCCCTATGCCAGTTAATCTGAATAACTGCACCTCCTATGCCAGTTAATTTGAATAGCTGCACCCCTATGCCAGTTAATCTGAATAACTGCACCCCTATGCCAGTTAATCTGAATAACTGCACCCCAGTGCCAGTTAATTTGAATACCTGCACCCCTATGCCAGTTAATCTGAATAACTGCACCCCTATGCCAGTTAATCTGAATAACTGCACCCCTATGCCAGTTAATCTGAATAGCTGCACCCCTATGCCAGTTAATTTGAATACCTGCACCCCTATGCCAATTAATTTGAATACCTGCACCCCTTATGCCAGTTAATTTGAATACCTGCACCCCTATGCCAGTTAATCTGAATACCTGCACCCCTATGCCAGTTAATCTGAATAACTGCACCTCCTATGCCAGTTAATTTGAATAGCTGCACCTCCTATGCCAGTTAATCTGAATAACTGCACCCCTATGCCAGTTAATCTGAATAACTGCACCCCAGTGCCAGTTAATTTGAATACCTGCACCCCTATGCCAGTTAATCTGAATAACTGCACCCCTATGCCAGTTAATTTGAATAACTGCACCCCAGTGCCAGTTAATTTGAATACCTGCACCCCTTATGCCAGTTTATCTGATTAGCTGCACCTCCTATGCCAGTTAATCTGAATAATTGCACCTCCTATGCCAGTTAATTTGAATAACTACATCCTTATGCCAGTTAATCTGAATAACTGCACCCCTTATGCCAGTTTATCTGATTAGCTGCACCTCCTATGCCAGTTAATCTGAATAACTGCACCTCCTGTGCCAGTTAATCTAATAACTGCACCTCCTATGCCAGTTTATCTGATTAGCTGCACCTCCTATGCCAGTTAATTTGAATAACTACATCCTTATGCCAGTTAATCTGAATAACTGCACCCCTTATGCCAGTTAATCTGAATAACTGCACCCCTATGCCAGTTAATCTGAATAACTGCACCTCCTATGCCAGTTAATCTGAATAAGTGCACCCCTTATGCCAGTTAATCTGAATAAGTGCACCCCTTATGCCAGTTAATCTGAATAGCTGCACCCCTATGCCAGTTAATCTGAATAAGTGCACCCCTTATGCCAGTTAATCTGAATACCTGAACCCCCTATATCGGTTAATCTGACAAAAGAGGAAGACATTTACTCATTTGAATAATTCATTTAACCTTCACACATGTATGTCTGTTGTCCTTCAGATCAATTTGAGTCGTAACAGGTGGTATGACATGCCGTTTACACGAGATGAATCACTAACGGCAGACAAGAAATTTACTATTTTTGGTGAGTGAATATGATTTGGTACTTTGTATGCATGCTTTCTCAGTCAGTATTGGTGCTACCTTCACGGTTATGACGTTAATGATCCATTAAACAGCTTTTTGTCATCTTTGCATAAAAACAAAGGTCTTCTTCTGAAACGTGTAGAGGGGGCTATATCATGCTTGTATAAACAAAAGGTTTGTTAAAATGGTCTTTGTCGACAGGTAGTGTTTTATGAGAGTTGGATTATATTTTATTATAGAGATTACCAAATCTTACATTTGACCAGAAAATAATGAGATAGTACTATTCAACAAAAAAACAAAACACTTTGAGTTGATCAAAATCAGATAGGTAAACAAACTTGACTTGAGGAAATTAATAAATTGTTCTATGAACAGACAAAAATTAAATCTGAAAGGGTGGTTACATAAGACAGATTGCTCATATGTTACGCGTGGTCACTATAGAAAGGTGGTCTTTATATAGAGGTGGTTACTATAGAAAGGTGGTCACTATAGAAAGGTGGTCTTTATATAGAGGTGGTCACAATCACAGGTTTGATTACTACAGCAGCAAATACTAGTGTATACCAGTATGTTTAATCTTTAACCCTGGCCCTGAATCATAAATTACTTAATGCATTGCACTGGGTGAACTTATCAACATGTGTTATTTTTAGTTGGACCATCTGTAGACCCTGCCGGTGTCACGATGCTAGATTCAATTAAAGTATATGGCAAGACGAAAGAAGCATTTGGATGGCCTGATGAACCGCCAGATGAATTCCCATCAGTCACTGGTACAAACTTGCCTACAGTGACTACTAGCACGGACACTGAGGTCGCTGTCACATTGCCATTACCATTGACTTCATTAGACAGACTGGTGGCCAGTTCATTGGAGGTATTAGAAGGATGCTTCATGGTTTTGGCTAATACTGAGGTATGGATTACAATAATTACAAACTATTCCTATCATAAATTACAGACTCTGAGGTATTTTAATGAATGAATGCAATTAGTATAAAGTCTGTATTAGTAGCTGCGACTTCTATTTATGCTGTAAAATGTAACATAGGGTAAAGCTTCTAAGTAAAGGTGAATTTTGGTTTCTCAAATGTTCAAAAAAAACGTGTGTGGCTGCTGATGTTGTTACGGCTTCTAAGACAGTTTTTATGTTCATGGTATACATGTACTTACACTTCTTTTGGAGATGTGCATATTGATGGAGCAAATACAGTACTAGAATTTTGAAAACTCATTCCTCAGATAACATTCATGATTAATTTACTAAAATTCTGAAATACTTTTATTTTTTGTAGGAAC